GGGGGGGGGGGAAAGGGAGGACGGTGCATAAAATTTGCCATTCCTAGTAAAATCTCACCCCAGTGTCATAGCTAGGTTGTGAAATGCATGGATGTTGCAAAATATTAGTATCAAAAGCATTTTTTGCAAAGAAAATGCACCGTGACACCGATGGTGACTGAGTTCTTCAGCAATCATTATGCATTCAAATCATTAAATAACTGACTTTTCAAAAAACAACTTATCATCAAGATAAGCCGTTTCCAGAGTTTTCCAATCGATGCGACTGTACAGGGGAGCAATCAGCGGTCTCAAGTAATCCTTAATAAAATTTTATGCATGATATGAAAGCTAAGTTTAGAACAAGACGATTAAGCAACACAGAAAGAATAAAAACCTATGCCACTCGACTAATTCGGGGCTCAAAAAAGAGTACGAAAGATTTGGCCCCTCTATTCGGGATTAATGACCTCGTAAAGGCTAAACAGTCACTTAAACGTGTGGCTGTTTAAAATGTGAGGAGTTTTCTGTTACTTTTAAATCAAATCTTTTTTACTTTTGTGGGATTATAACCAATTCTCTTGTGCACATTCATTGCATTTTATTTATTTTTTTCAACAACACAGCCACCATACTGACGAGGTCCAATTTTGTTGCCGAACAAAGCGTCTACAAAATGGTGGGCCAAGATATTCCTCTTCGTTCAATTTTCAAGAGGAAAGCATTAACAAAAACTGCGTTAAATTAACTAACTCTAACGTACTGGGTTTCTGGTTCATCAGCAAAATTCTGCACAATAGTTCCAAACCCTGATAGAGCCGTCGTCCATGGCAGAAATTCGCTTTCTTTAGCCAGATACTGCGTCAGGTTCAGAGGTATGTCATACGGGATTGAGTTCGCTTCAGCAAGAGCAAATGCATCACCCAGAATTCGGGCACGGGAGCGCACATCAATCTCCTTCATTCAGACAATCAAATGCAAATGCATTCATTGGAAAACATTAACTTTTAGCGAGGAAAATGAATATTTTCTGGACAAAAGAACTCGTAAAAGTTCAATTTGGTAAGTAACGGCACACTCTAAAAAGTCAATGCTAAATATTTTTCAATGGGTTCCAACGGGAAGTGCAAAGACATCTTTTTTCCATTGTACTTTAACTAGGAACAACAATGTGTTTTCAGTCTGCATAAAAGCGCAAAAGTAGTAATTACCAGATAATTAAATAATTAGAAAATAATAATTAGATAAGGCTATTGCCTTATCTGTTTAAAAACCATGACAAATTCAATGCAGAATGTCTTTACCGTGTGATCTTTGAGCAAC